CTCAGTCAAGCTCCATCTTCTCCATGAAGTTTTTTCTCACTACCAAATGAGAAGTTCCTTGAAGCTAAAAATTCACGCACTCTCAGATTTAGAAGGAAGCTTAGAAGCTATCTAGTTTAGCCCATGTCCCTCAAAGAATTCTCTTTACAACAACTCAGTAGTCTCTTCAAGAAGATGTCCGAAGATGGGGAACTGATTATTCCTGGAGGCAGCCTTTATAGAATTCTATAATGGCAGGGTTGAAAGGAACCTTAGAGATTATCTAGCCCAACCCCCTTATTTTACAGTTGAGGAAACTGAGGCACAGAGAAATAGCCACTTTTTCCAAGGTCACTATGACTGAATGGTAGAATAAGATAATGACTTGCATGTTGAACTTGCAGCCAACAGGAAGAGCTGGGTTCAAACTACACCTCTGATATTTTCTGTTCAGGTCAACCTCTAATCACTCAGGATTGAAACCATTAAATCACTGTGAGGCAGCTAAATGCTGCAGTAGATAGAATGCTGGACCTCGAGTCAGGAAGACCTGAGTTCAAATCCAGCCTAAGACACTAGGTGTATGATCCTGGGCAAGTCACTTAATTCTATTTGCCCCAGTTTTCTCAGGCATAAAATGGGGATAATAGTAGAACCTTTGTTGTGAGGATAAAATGAGATGATATTTGTAAAAAGCTTTATAGACCTAGAAGTGCTATATAAAGTCTAGCTATTATTATTGTTATTATTATACTCAGCTCCTCACTCTTCCCCATCTCCATATCTAATCATTTAGCAAGTTCTATTGATTCTCCTTAATATGACATTTCTTATAAGATCCTTTTCTCTCCATTTGCCAGTTCATGACCCTAGTTCGGGCTCTTATGATTGCTCCCCTGGACTATTGTAATAATTTCCTTACTGATCTCACTCCCTCAAATGTCTCCCTTCTCCATTCTATCCACTAAACAGCTGAAAAGTGATATTATTGAAAGTTAAGTCTGGCTATGTTATCTACAACCCCCCCCCCCCATTTTAAAAAGCTCCAGTGACTTCCTATTGCATCTAGGATGAAATACCAACTTCCCTTTGTCACTTACATGCACACCACACAGCCTGGCTCCAGGTCACCTTTCCAGGTCTTTTCACTTCCTTTCTCATCATTCACTCCAGGTTTCAGCCAAATTACCCTTCTTGCTGTTTCCTTATACCTGGCAGCAGACCATCCTCCATGCTTGAAATTTTCTCTTTCCTCACACCTATCTCTTATAATCTCTAGTTTCCTTCAAATGCCACCTCTAGTTGAGAGTTTTCTTGACCATCCTCCAATGTTTTAGTGCCTTCTATCATCTTCTAATTACAAATATCATCTCATTTTAGCTTGACAACAGCCTTGGGAGGTTAATGTTATTATTATCCCCATTCTTTTATAGATGAAGAAACTGAGGTAGACAGAGGTTAAGTGACTTCTCTAGGTTCACACAGCCTGTAAGTGCATAAGGCTAGATTTGAATTTGTGTCTTCTTAATTCCAAGTGGAGTGCTCTATCCACTCTGTTTTTAATTTTTTAAATTAATTTATTTTGATTTATCAACAATCACTTCCATAAGCTTTTCAGTTTAAAATTTTTCTCCTCCTCCTTCCCCCTTCCCTCCCCAAGATGGCACACAATCTGATATAGGCTATACACACACACACACACACCCATACACACACACACATATATTTATATATATTTATTTCTTTATACATTCTTATTAAACATATTTTTCACATTAGTGATGTTTTAAGGAAGAATCAGAACCAATAGGAGGAATCACCAGAAAGAGGAAACAAAACAAAACAGAAGAAAAAAAAGAGAAAATAGTATGCTTCGATCTGCATTCAAACTCCATAGCTCTTTCTTTAGATGCGGATAACATTTTCCATCACGAGTTGCTCTACCTACTCTGCCACCTAGTTGCTGTTTAGAGAATGTCAAGGGAACTAGAGGAAAGGCTTCACCTCTACAATGGCTCCCCAGTAGTGGATTCAGGGGAGGATCTGTCAGGACAAAAGTCATACAAGCTGGATATCTATTGGTAGGTTGTAATATGCATAATTGGAGGTAGTACCCACACTGAAGAGATCACTGATCTGTTCAATTATCTCAATTTTCCTAGTTCCTAGGCAAAAATACATAAGATGATCTTTCCTATAATTCCCCAACACAATACTCAAGGCTTGGACTAGATGATTTCAAATTCCCTTCTAGACCCATGAGACTTTGTTCTTATGGCCCTAGTTAGAACACTTGGTTGCCTGAAGTAAGCTGACTCCAAGAAATAACAATTTGTAGGAGCATTGATTTAGCACATGAGTACCAAAGAAAAAAATGTGCATAGCTATCTTGTAAAAGGTCAGACCCGAGTTCAAATCCTAACTCAGATACTTAAAAGCCATGTGACCTTGGGCAAATCATTCAACCTTTTTCTCCCTCAGTTTCTTCATGTGTAAAATGGGATTAATAATAGCATCCATGGTTGTTTTGAGGATCAAATATGATAATATATGTAAAATGCCTATAAACCTTAAACTACTATATTATGACAATTTTTATAGCTCATGTTAATATGTTTCCTTCTTCACAAAAATGGATGTGTTCATCTTGGAGGGGGAAAGAAGTATCAGGATTATTATTTCCATTTTATAAATGGGGAAACTGAGCTTCTGAGAGGGTCAGTGATTTGATTAAATTTGTCCAGTGAGGAAGTATATGAGATGGCTTCTAACTCGTCTCTTCATATATGATACTTTTTCTATAAGCCCCCAAAGGGATACAAATAACTTCCAGTACAGGCAGTTGATTGCTTGGCTCAAGCATTACCTTTTTCATGAAGCCTTCCCTGATTGCCGCAGATGCTAACACTTTACCCCATTCTACCTCCAAATAATTTTGTATTTAGTTTGTATAATTGTCAATTTTGAGAATTGACCTGGCACTTACCGGGGCATACACATAGTAGTTTCCCTGATAGACTACAAGCCTTTTGAGGGTGAGGACTGCTGAATTTTTGTCTCTGTAGTCTCAGGGCCTAGCGTAGTGGCTGGCACTTAGTAGGTGCTTAGTGAATGCTTTTTGATTGCTCTATTGATTGATTGATTGATTGCAGCCAAATTTCCATTAGGCCACAACTCTGCCAGTTCAAGTTACTAAGCTGGTTTTCTGACTGTGTCTATACCTGTTTTTCCAAATAGATGGATTGATTATTAACAGGCTGTAGAATCATGGAATCCCAGGGTGTTGCATCTGGAACGGACTTTAGTGACCACACAGCCCAGCCCTCTCATTTTCTTGATGAAGAAGCTGAGAATAGGATGCTCACAGTTGAAATAGAAAATTCCCTTTGAGTTTTCAGATGAGACACATTAATAGCCCATTTGATAGCATTTTTCTTTATACTTTAAAAATTAGTGGCCTTTCTGAAGAGCTTTTTGTCTATTACAAGAACTCATTAGAGCATATTTCTCCCATTTTGTGTTACAGGCACAGAGATAACTCTCCCTTCATTTGCTGACCCTCTCGTGTCATTTAGTAATCTAATTACAGCCTAATGGCCAACAGGGAGGGCATTTCCCGACAGATAATTGAGGAGTTAATTCATCTTGGCCTCTCTACACAGCTAGTCACCAGTTGCCAGAAAATGCCTGACCTCTAGGTCATTCTTGCTATTATGAACCTAATCGAGCATTTCCCCCCATTTTTATGCCTGTTGACACAAACTCTGTGATTTTGTGGCCAATGTTTTTTTTTTTTTAAATGATGAACTTGGCCTTTACATTTTGTAAATGTATTCAAGCTATTGGTAAGCAGTGGGAAATCAGAATCACTCAATCACAGGATCTCAGAGTTGGAGGACATCTCAGTGGTCATCTAGTATAACCCGTACTTAATGGAAAATCCCCTTGGTAATTTACTCAAGGAGTGTTCATCCAACATTTTCTTGAAGACCTCCAGTGAGGGGCAAACCCCCTACCTTCCAGGACATCTCTCATTTTTAAGAAGTCTTTCCTGATATCAAATCTAGCTTTTGCATAGCACTTTAAGGTTTGCAAAGTGTTTTAGAAATACTATTTCATTTGATCCTCACCATGACCCTGGGAGGTAGGTACTGTTACTATCTCCATTGTACAGGTGAAGAAATTGAGACAGTCAGAGGTTAAGTGATTTGCTCAGGGTCACACAGCTTGTAAGTATCCTGAGGCAGGATTTGAACTCAAGTCTTCTTGTCTCCATTTCTACTCCACTAACTAGTTGGTACAAATGGATCAAAGGGAATGAAATGGCTGGACATCTCACTATTTGACTCCTAACAAGTTGCACCCATTGTTTTCTGGATGTTCAGCCCTCTGGGCCATGTGGAATAAGTCATATCAGCTGATCATCATATTCTGCCCAATGAAAAACCCTGAGAGACAGCTTCTGGTTAATTAATAATCAATTTATTAATTAGGCTAGCTGGCAATTAGTAAATTGATGGTCAGTGGTTTCTCTCGGTAACCAAAGACAACCCATGGAGATTCTAAAAGCTTTATATACTTTTTGAAAGGGAATGACTCTGACAAGTGGAAGTTAACCCTGATTGGTGGACATTTAATGAGGAGGTGGGCTACAAGTCTTCAGCTCCTCCTGCTGAGAGTGTGGCTTGATCATAAGACTCAGTCATGACCAGCAATCTGTCCAGGGGAATCCATCTCCCTCCAGACTACTCTGGTTGGTTTTCTCCTTCTCCAGGGTTACACAGCCAATATAAGTCAATGATAGGACTTGAACCCAGGTCTTCCTGACTCTAAGGGCTGGCTCTCTATCTACCATGCCATACTACATCTTAGTAAACATGGCTTTGCTGTATTAAAAAAAAAGAAAAGAAAGAAAGAACTTGGGTACTGCAAATGGTGACATAGCCTTGTTGTTGGCTGTTGTGAGGCTAAATGACTTTGTGAGGCTAAATGCTCAATGTTTTTGTCTATGCCCATCTCAGGGCACCACCAGGTCAAGCAAGGGACATGTGAAGTGGTCGCTGTGCACCGTTGCTGCAATAAGAACAGAATTGAGGAGCGATCCCAGACTGTCAAGTGCTCGTGCTTCCCAGGGCAGGTGGCTGGTACCACCAGGGCTCAGCCTTCCTGTGTTGAAGGTAAGCCATCTCCAATTGATGCCACTAAGATCTCAGTGAGACTGGAAGAACTTAACCTCCTTCCCCTATTTGTTGACTTTTTGCTGCGCGGGCTGTGTAATCTTTTCTTAGTCACTGTTTGTCGGTGGTGATGAATACATCACGGCATAATTAAGTCTCTTAATATATGTAGTGATGCATCTCATGTCTTTGCAGGCAGTGTTTGTGGCTTGTGCATTCTTTCTCAGGCTAGGGTACTTAGGAGACAAATCACCAACCAGCCTTAAGACGTCTGGTTGTACACAGCACAAAACCATTTGGTAATTAGATTATCATTTAGGTTTAGACAGACGGTATGGTGTAGAGGCCAGGGCTGGACTTAGAAGCAGGAAGCCCTGGCTGTGAATCTCATCTGACCTATTAACTATGTGACACTGACAAATCACTTACATCTCTTTCTGCCTTAGTTTCCTGACCTGTAGAATGAGGGGATTGAACCTGATGAATGAATGAATAGAAAACATTGATTAAATGCTGTCTTTGTCAAACACTGGTGTTGAGCACCAGGGTTGCAAATACAAATGGGATCATAGATCTAGTTGTGGGAGGGGCTTCAGAGACCATCTAATCTGATCTCTTCATTTTACAGATGAGGAAACTGAGGCTCAGGGAGTGAATTGCCCAAGAACACATGGGCAGTAAGTGTCAGGAGTAGGATTTGAATCCATGTCTTTTGACTGCAAAGTTCTGGAGCTGAAAGGGTTGAACCCTCCAGGGCATTATCTCTGGTGTGGGCAGTAAGGCTAAGATCTCCTAAATTTGTTGTATGAATGATCCTACTGGGAGGAAGTACTGTTGGGCTATTTGTCCCAGCAGTGTGGTGTGGACCTGTGGTCAGAATGGGGTTTGGATCCTGATTCTTCTACTTACTAAACTATGTGGCCTTGGGCAAGTCACCTCCTCTCTAAATCTCAGTGTCCCCTCCTGATCTAAATCTAGGTGATGTGCCACAATTCAGAGGTCAGCGATTAAAAAACAACACATCTATGTAACTCCAGAGACTAGTAGTAGCAAGAAACTGCCTGGGAAAGTCAAGGACTGTGGACCTGCCAATCTGACGGTACTTAAAATATCTCAGGCTCATTTTTGAGGTGAGAATAAGGAGAATAAACTGGCAAGAATTGGTAAGAAAACAGGGCCCTCGGCATAAAACAGGGAGCACAAGCTTGCTTTCTGTCAGGGTTATGAAGGAGGGGAACTTGCTAGTGAGGCTGTGTGATCACAATGACGAAAGAATCTGCCCAATTCCAAAAACATCCGAGTGGATTTAAACATGCTGAGAAGAATTCAGTGTGACTGGCCACTCTCTAAGGGACGGGCAGGGCTTCCTGACTGCAGGCCCAGCTCTCCATCTGATGCACTAGTATTTATGCAGTGCTCTCTCAATATCATCTCATTTTACCCTTGTGACAATTGTGGGAGTGAGGTGCTCCAAGTATTGTTACCCCATTTTATAGATGCGGCAGCGAGGTGGCTCAGTGGATAGAGTGCTGGGCCTGGAGTCAGGAAGACCTGAGTCCAAGCTTGACTTCAGATACTTACTAGCTGTGTGACCCTGGACAAGTCACTCAACCCTCTTTGCCTCAGTTTCCTCATCTGTAAAATGAGCTGGAGAAAGAAATGGCGAAACAAAAAAATGTATCTTTGCCAGGAAAATCCCAAATGGGGTCACAAAGAGTTGGACACTACTGAAACCACCACCACCACCACCATGACAGCAAAATAGATGAGGATACTAAATCTCCAAGAGCCTTGCCCTTGAGGGGTGTATTATCATCCTTATATCTTTATCCTAGGTAGCTAGGTGGGTAAAGCACTGGACATGGAATCAGGAAGATCTGAGTGCAAATCCTGCCTCAGACACTTAATAGCTGTGTGACCCTGGGCAGGTCACTTAATCTCTGTTTGCTTCAGTTTCCTTATTTGGAAAATGGGAATGATATTAGAACCTACCTTACAGGGTTGTTGTGAAGATCAAATAAGACAGTATTTGTAAAGTGCTGAGCACAATGCCTGGTACATTTTTTGTTCAGGTTTTTCATTCCTTGTGACCCCATTTGGGGTTTTCTTAGTAAAGATACTGGAATAATTTGTCATTTCCTTTTCCAGCTCATTTTTACAGATGGGGAAACTGAGGTGAACAGGGTTAAGTGACTTGCCCAGAGTCACACAGTGAGGCCAGATTTGAGTTGAGGTCCTCCTGACTCTAGGCCTGGCTTTTTGCCCATTGTGCCACCTAGCCACCCCTCTCCTGGCACATAGTACACACATAATAAATGCTTGTCCGCCTCATTTTAGAGATGAAGAAATTGAGGTGAAGTGGCTTCCTCTGAGACTCATAGTTGGTAAATAGAAGAGCTGATTGTTGAACTGAAGTTTCCTGATTTGAAATTCAGGGCTGTCTCCACTCCAAAAGGTACACAAGTTTTAGAGGCAAACAGTGAAAGTTAATCGCAGATTAACTGTGGTACATCTGTAGGCAGGAAGATATGGGTTCAAGTCCTGCCTCTGACACCTATTAACTGTGTGACCCTGGGGAAGATACTCTAACTCTCAGTTTCCATTTCTTTCTCTGTAAAATGGACAGAGCAGAACCTACCCCCACAGGTTAGAATGAGATTCAAAGGTGATGTCGAGCCTGAAGCACTTTGTAGACTTTCAAGCACTAGATAAATACCAGTGACTTGTGAGCCTTCCTTCACTCTCTTACCAGAACACTATTGCTCCTGGCTTAGCCACTGGCCTCCTGGCCTGGGCAACTTCCTTCAGGGATTTTAGCTCTCTCTGCTCAGTCATTTATCCCATAATAATTATGCAGGGCTGTGCCATTATCAGATATGCAGGAGATTTATTCTTCACTAGATAGAGACATCCTTATCTTATTTGTCAATAAGAATGGGAAAGATCTAAAGTAAAGAGGATTCTTTTGGAATTTACATTTAAATTAAAACAAGGGCCCCTAAAAATGGTGCAGAGGAGAAGTAATTAATATCCACATGAAAATCAGTGCCTCCTTACACATTTTGGTTAATCCACAAGGAAGGTTCTTATCTAATGTTTCCCTTGCTTTTCTCACAAAATCACGACTTCTTTAAAGTTAAACAGCAGGAATCCCAGCTGCTGGCTTTGTTTTTTCTTCCCCTTGTGGGGTATGATAGCCTTGTAGAATATCCACAGGTCCTGGACATAAGCATTTGCTGAGGCTCAGCTGCTACCTTGGGGAACTTTCTGGGGGAAAAGATCATTTTCTTTGGGCTATCAGGACCTGTGCTAATTTGAGAAGATTTTGATTTGGGAGAATATTTCTAATTTAGAAACACACATCAAAAATAACTGCAGTTTCTGAAAATCCTGTGTCCCTCCCTGCCTCTCCCCCACCCTCATCACATACCTTAAATGTTTCATTTTTTCAGTCCTCATCCTTCTTGACAATTTTTTCCAAATGTGGTCCCTTTGATCACTCCCCCTTTGTGGATTTTCTCTCCATTCTGGGCTTCAGAAGCACTAACTCTCCTGCTCCAAGGGAGACAAACAACATACAAAATAGAAAGAGAGATGCATTGGAAGCAGGGGCTTGGGTGTAGAATGTAAGCTCCCTGCAAATAGAGGGAGGATTTAAAAAAAAATTGTCCGCAGTGCCTAGCACAATGCTTGGAACACGGTAGGTACTTAACAAATGCTTGTCAATTGATTAATTCCAGGTCTATCAGTTACTCTCTATGTAACCTTGGACAAATCATAGTCTCTCTGGACCTCAGTTTCCCCATCTGTAAAATGAGAGACTGGAGTAAATAATTTCTGAGGTCCTTTCCAAATCAAAGTCTGCACTTCTGACTGTTCCATTGTTGACTTCACATAATGGTCCCGACCCTTGAAAGTGAGTGCTTCCCAAGTCTCTTTCCTCAAGCACTCCCTTTCCCTCCCCTCCTCTTCTCTCTGTCTCCCTCCCCTCCACTCTCCCCTGACAATCTCATCCACCCCCAAGGCTTTAACTCTTGATTCTCTGCAGATGGTCCTTGAATCTGATTCTTCAGGCCTGGCTTTTCTCTCAAACTCCGGATCTATATCCTTAATTATCTACAGAACATCTCTACCTGGCACCTAATGCCTTCTTCACCTCATCATGTTTGAAGCAAATCAATTCTAGGATCATACAAAGATCTCTAGAGCTGGAAGAAAACCTAGATTTCATGTAGTTCCACCCCACCACCCCTATTTATAGACAAGAAAACTGAGACCCAGAGGAGTTTAGTGACTTATTCAGATTCACAGGGGAAGTAAATAGTAGAGAGAATCTTTCTTGGTAAGCCCATATCTTCTTTTAACTTCACTATTTTTGCTAATGGCATAAACATGTATCCAGGTGCCTGTGTTTTAAACTGATGTTTTCTCTGACACTTCCCTCACTTTTTATACCCGATCAATGAACAAATCCCATCAATTCTATCTTCATAAGACTCACATCTGTCCCTCTATTTCAGCTGCTCCTGCCCTACCCAAGCCCTCATTACCACTTACCTTGATGGTTTCAATAGCTTCCTAGTAGGTCTTCTGACTTCCACTGTATTCCTACTCCAATCTGTGCTCAGAGTGCTTCTGGACTAGTCTTCCTTACAGAAGATTTGTGCATATTTTTGTTGCTCAGTTGGTTTTCAGTCATGTCTGATTCTTTGTGATCCTATTTGGGAATTTCTTGGCAAAGATATTGAAGTGGTTTGCCATTTCCTTTTCCAGCTCTTTTTACAGATGAGGAAATTGAGGCAAATAGGGGTAAATGACTTGCCCAGGGTCATACAGCTGGTAAGTGTCTGAGGCTAGATTTGAACTCAGGAAGATGACACTTCTTGACTCTGGACCCAGCACTCTATCCACTATGCCACCTTGCTGTCCATTTTATTCCATTGCTCAACATTCTTCAGTGAATCCCTATAGTCTACTAAGTTAAATATGAACTTTTTGGC